GTTTTATACTGAATGAGTCTGAGTTTAACATGAGCGAGGTGTGAGAGGTTTGCAAAATGAACATGAATCCTTTTGAAAACACGACAAATGGGCTCACGTTATCAGTTTGGAATGAAAAAAAATAGATTTTGAATTGAATCGTGAGAGAGTAAAAGATTCCCACCATATTAACCTGTAGATCCTACTCATTTGGAACTAGATGGATTCATAAACCCAAATAACCAGAGGCTTAGTATTACTTTTGAAATCTTAGGAAGTAAATTAACTCTTTGTGACACAAATAAAAGCAGACTGAATACCTTTGCCTGTGATATGGTACGCTCCCAGTTTGTAGCAGCTTTCTGGATGTCCATTTGTCTCACAGTTGTGTTTGAGAATTTGTGCTGCAGAGTCGAAATTTCTCTTCACCCCTTCAAAATAGTCTGCCAGCCTTTGGCACCCTGAAACAGATGGACACAGAGGGACACACAGGACACTATTACAGATGGACAGAGAGGGACACACAGGACACTATTACAGATGGACAGAGGGGGACACACAGGACACTATTACAGATGGACAGAGGGGGACACACAGGACACTATTACAGATGGACAGAGGGGGACACAAAGGAAACAGTTGGACACACAGAGTGACACACATTAAACAGTTGGACACAGAGGGACACAGTTGGACACACAGGACACAGTTGGACACAGAGGACACAGAATATCTACCTTCAGGGTCCTTCTCTCTGTGGCACTGGTAGCTGTACTCCACTCCCAGGTTGTCCAAAAACTGCTTCACCTCGTTCTCATCTTCAAAGTTGACSAGTCCAGCCATTTTTACACACAACTCACGTGCCTGACCTTGGCGGATGTACGAAACAGTTTTAAAGTCACGAAAGCTTTTCCTTGAGATAAAACTCWATAATATGGTTGACTTGAGATTGTCGCGAAAGCGTACTACCTAAAGTCACCCATGCATGTCTAAAATTACCTCTTAAAAACCAAAAGACGTCTTTCCTCAGGTCCCGGTGTTCCGCTCCACCTCTACAGGCTTCCGTAGTTCCTCATCATGTACTTCCGGTGCTGTGACCTTTCTACGGTTTAGTCAAAACAGAGTTGGCTCGCAGTAACGTCTYGGTTCCAGGCCGTTACAACACAACACGGTGACATGAGGAGTTCAGCCACGGCCGTCAGCTGTCGGTGTGTTCGTGTCTGCACCGGGTTGTTAGCTCGGACACAGCGGCTCGTGAGCTAGCTAAAACTGCTGCTTGTTTTTATCGCCTCGGCTCGATCAGGTGGAACCAGAAGACACGGAGCTACCTGACAAAACAGACCCGTTAAAACTMATACATACAAGCTCTTTTACTTTGTAAATACTTTTTGTTTTCTTCAAATAACTATGGCTCTGGCCTGTAATTTCCTAAACACGGTAGGTTTTGGTTTTGTTTTGAAGTAAACACGGGACGACGTGTAGCAACACATTGTTTACTTTTATTGTTTTTAATAAAATGAATCTCTTGTTTTTAGGATGACTCGTCTCCAGCGGCCCTGACCGACCTGTGCCTCACCTATGTGAGCCACAACCTGGAGTTTTTCTGTGTGAAGCTCTCTGACGGCTCCTGGAGCTTCAGGGAGGCGGTCCTCTTCCCTCAGGAGCTGGCTGACCAGCTGCTGGCCAAGATGGCCGCTGAAGGTAAACATCTTCTTTCTGCTGCCTTTCTTTTGATTTCTGTTGTATTATTATTGTGTTGTATGTATAGCAT